ATGGGGTGTATGCAAAAATAAAAAGAACCACCATTAATTTGGATTACGTACACAGGTGTACCCTGCCACATGTTGTGGTGGCATCTCCACTTTGAAATATGTTGTAGTTGTTTTGAAGGTGAAGTTCTACAAATCATTGTTGTTTGTCTTTATCACTTTTGATGGGAGTGGCATTTTGTGGTGCCACGGCACGCAGAGTAGTAGCAAGTATTTTATTGTGAAGTATTATACATAGAGGGTTGATATATATCCTACATAAGGCCCCATTCAGAATAGGGGGCTAACTAGTCTGAGGGTCAAATATGGCCAACCCACTTGAATACTTCCCCACAGGATATCTATTCAATGTCTATTAGCAGATTAGACAGCAAGCTTTGTAATAGGTCGCCATATTTGACCCTCAGACTATAGTTAGTCCCCTATTCTGAATAGGGCCTAAGTTACTGCTCCATAAGTTTGTTTATTAATAATTGCATGTACTTTGAAAAATGTCCGTAGGCGAAGTCCTTACCCAGGTAGTGGAAAAGGGTACTACAGGTATTTCCATACTGAAATATATATAATACGTGAGCGGGGTAACATTTACGCTGAGGATGATTTCTGAGTTACCCTAACAACTGTTGGTGTATTTAATTGCCAAATTTAGATCTGCTGTAAACGAGGGCAATAAAGGTGATAAGTGGTGAACAAGCTTGTCACTGTAGATGGGAGGGGGGAGGGGGGGGGGCATTGGTTTGAAGAGAAAAAAGGGTTTTGTTAATCTTTATAAATTTTTGGCATTTTGTCCAAAATTATCAAAGACCTTGTGGATAACATGATATAATTTGAACAGTGAATTGCTCTCTTTTTAAATGTGAAATGTTTACATGTCATTTTTGGATCCAGATTGGATGGCATTGATTGGGTTAATTCAAATAGTTAATGCTTTTGAATATTTCCAGTGATTTACTTCTTATGGCCTCAAGTTATTATTGACTGTATTTGTAGTATATGCACATCCAGATAAAAGGATACATAATCACTTCTAGTTGGAACATCAGCTTTTTAATGTGTAAGAAAAAAAATACTTTTTCCTTGGGAGAGGAACATTCATTAGTCCCAAAGTGCAATAAGATGTGAATTGCAATCATAGAAAGTGCCTCAGATGAACAAAATGCAATTAGTCAGGTTGAATACAGTGGCAAGGCAATAGTTTAATAATGAGGCTGGTGTAATCAAGTCAATGTATGAAATCAGTATGGTGTGTGTTGTCAACCAACAGCCAAGTCCATCCTGCAGGTTCCCTGTATTAAATGAGGATCAATAAGGAAATGAGGGAGGAGATATAAGGAAAAATACAAATACCGCCGCATGGGAAGAAAAATTGTTTGCTGGGTGCAGTTACTACATGACGTAATTGTGTAAATGTAATTTAGCACAGCCCACATTGCATGCCTAAAATAGTGATTAACCAGTGGCTATATATATATATATGTGTGTTTTTGGTAGATTCTGAGGATGTTTTGTAAATGAGAACAGTCTGAAGGTGGACATGTATTGATGGAATAAATCCTAGCAGCCTAGTGCTCTGTACACTGGTTTGCTCTCCAGGTATACGTGCTGAGAATGTAGACATGCTGTCTCCCTCATGAGAAGCCTCATTTGATATGTCCATGCTGATAGAGGAAAATTACACTATAGTTCACATACACAAGGTACTTGTGAACAGAAATCGAATGCTAAAAGAAATCCCAGTGTTGATTTGTAAACAGACCAGTTTGAGGAAAACCTGCCTGAATTCCCAGGATATGCCCAGGAACTGAATATCAAGTGTAAGGGGCGACTTATTTGCCATGTCAGGAGAGACATGAGGAAGGAGAGTGTCATGTTCCTGCTTGAAATGGATCTAGTGTTGCTGTGAGGAACTGTGGAAAGAAGTCAATAGTGCTTCAGTCACATCCCTAAGCTAGACCTGAAGAGGACAGATATTTAAAATCTACAGGTGACAGTAATAGTAGAGCATCTGGTCTCGCATCATGGATTTGATAAATTATTCAGTTTTCACAACACAGATTTAGACGGTCATTTTTAGACTTTGCTTTGGGGAAGGTTGTAAAATGGTGAAACATGCTTGAATGACATTGTTCAGCAATAGGAAGATTATACCCACCTAAGTAAATAGCAAAGGAGATTCATAAAAGGTCATCAGTAACTGCATACAAAACTCTCATGTACTTAACATAAAAAAGGGAAAACCAGTTTGGATATAGCCTGATTAAGGAAAGGAATCTACTGTCTAATATACCATCATGGGAGGTGTCACAGACAAGTTGATGTTTTCAGCAGGTTGTATTTTCAAAATTTCTTTTGTATCTTTCTGTTTGTTTGTTTGTTTATTTGTTTGTTTGTTTGTGGATAAATATTTTTTGTATATGGTATGAAGTATTTTATTATTGTTGGCGTCATTTGTGTTTAGTTTACTTCCTCATAGTGGGCAGTCTGAATTCTTGGAATTTAGGGAAGTCAGGATAATCACATAAGCAGTGGTTGCAATCTAAAGCAGAGGAAAAGAGCATTTTAACATTTGTGGATGGTTGAATTAGAAATGAGTGTTGAATACAGAATAATATATTTATGAAAATTACCCAGAAAAAGGCATCACATACTAAATGGCCAACATGGCATAGATGGGTTCAACAGATATATATGGTATTCACAGGTGAAACCTACTACTGTAGCATATTAAACTGCACTGGATCCATTTGATCATTGTGTGTGTAGTAACCTCTTAATGCCTCACAAGTGTGCCATATGGTCTGGGAAATGGGCAGCTGATTCTGAAATCAAGTTCGGATCAACCCAGTATAAGTAATGCAGATTTTACTCGGGAACACTTGTTGTCGCTTCAAGCAACAGCAGACAATGTAAATATCCAATAAATGAGGCAGGAATTGATGCACACGTTTTTCAAGTTGTCACGGTTTTGTGTCATCCTTACGCAATTATACATAGATAACATTATCTGCTGATGTGCTCTGAATTATCTTTTATGACAGAAGGAATTTCCGTCTCACACCCACATACTGTCAATCAATTATTTACATTTAAAAAAAGTTGGTAATCTGATAGACATGTATTCTGATGTTTCCTCCAAATTTAAACGTCTGATCTCTTTAATAAATGCTGGTGTCTTTTGTTGTATGATTTTCAGCCCAAAAAAGGGCATTGTTTCTGATTTTACAACAGTATTGCATAATAAACCTATCGCATGTTCAGATGTCAATCACTGTATGATTTTCAGCAGAAAAAAGGACACTATTTTTTGTTTTACATATCAGTGCTGCATAATTAACCTATATCCTTTGCTCTCTGTATTGTCTAGAATATATTTTTCCTTTCTGATGAGGAAATGAATACTCATGCCTAACTGAACTTTAGTTGAACTGCCAGTTTTTATTGATCCAAAGAGGATGACCTCAAATACTTTGTGACTGTCTTTTGGTGATCACATCCAATCTAACAATCTAACTTTTACTACTTATATTTGTGCTCAATGTCTATAAAACATTAATTGGACATTTTACTGTTAGAACTAACTTTAGTAAGTATTAAGTTCTTGGGATTTTTGAAAGCAAATGTGAGCAGAATGATTTTATTTATTAGAACTGCCAAAAATGGATGTACGTAATAGGTATTGCATGGTATTAAAGTTAAAGAAAGAAGGCAAAATTCCAGGGCATCTCTGGGCAGTTTAGGAAAGCAATTGATGATTTCAACTTAATTGAGTCTAGTTGTAATGCAATCTTAAATTCAATTGATGATTGTTTTAACTTTCTAACTTGCAATTTCCCTCAACCAATTGCAAATACACATAGAGGGTATTTACTTTTGCTTACTGAAAAGGATGAATGGTATCCAGTTTCTTTGATTGGCCTGAAAGATAATATTTCTCCAATACGAGCCATTGCTGTACTTAATTGCCTTCATAGATTTGTCTACATGGGATTTAGTATGGATATAACTGGATCTCAGCTCAAGCTGATGCAAGAACAAGGATTTCTGTGTTACTATTTCAGCCAGAGGAAAACTTGACTTAAAATGTATGATTTTGATTATAATACCATAATGAATAAGCAATACAAAATTCAAATCCAAGTATTTTTTTTCATCAGCTTTGCTTATTCAACTCATCTTGGCAGAAAAGCTCTTTAATTATTTACTTGATGTTTCCTATGAATAATGAAGATGTGTGTAGGAAACTCCCACATTACACTTCAATGAAAAATTATCAAGCAAGTCCATTAATCTTGAACACTGTATGTATGTTTTGTGTCACTTGAAGATAAAGCATTCATGTGCAATCATGAAGAGTTGACGTTTTACATCAGATCAAATGCAAGGCAATATATATTTCAGGTACATGCAGCCTTTGAATATTTTCTACCATTTTTCTTATTGAGTGTAGAGTGGTTTTATTGATCCCTAGTATTAGAAAAGAGGAGCCAGATTTATATTGCATTAAGTTTCTTTTTATCCTCACACTTATCTTCTTCATTAGTCTGTGGTACCGCTGAGAATTGATACTTCACATTCATTGACAGAGGAGATTAGAATTGAAAAGCTTTTTTGCAAAATATCTAGGTAGTGGAAATAACTGTGTTATCCATAGTAAAAGCTAAGTTAGGTGGAATTGTTTTGAAAAATCCCTAAAGCTGTCTTAGTTTGTTTTTAAGCAGAGAATACATTCAAATATTATAAAAATGTGGATAGACAAATGTAGTCAAACTTGTTCTGGAAGAAAAATCACAATTAGTACATTTTTTCTTTAACTAATCTCACCCTATAAAGCCTCTTATTTGCAGTTTAAAAACAAAAATAATGTTGACATTGTAGGTTTCTACAGGACCATAAGGAAAGGAGTCCAAATTTAGAAAATATATTCCAAAATCAATGAATAAGTATCCCCACTGCCATGTGTATTTCCAGGAAAACTCCTAACAGTGTTTTTCTGTGTTTTTCAGACAATGACCTGGACGACTTGGAGATGCAAGTGGTGCGTTACAAGCCAGAGGGGCTGGATGCATTGTGCCGCAATACCAAATTTTCAAGGAAGGAGTTACAGATAATGTATAGGGGGTTCAAACAGGTAAGACTACATGGCACCGTATCCATTACCTCAGTAGAAGATGTTGCATAAATGATAGTAATAGCACAGGTGGTAGCCTCATACATGCATGCACGCACAAATTCTTTCTTTCAAGGGATGGTAATCAATTTTTTTTTTCTTACTGGGCACGGAAAAGCATTTTCCATAAGGCTTTCAGATTATCTTGGTAATTTGTTGTTCAGATAGGTGTTTCTTACCTGTGTGTGGTTAGTTCAAGGCCTATGCCAACATTTTAAATTGCGCCAAATGGTAGAGTTAATATACTTTGGCTTATACGTATAAGAAAAAAATTGTTTTAAACTGCCCATTTGTCACCATTTTGACTCTATTGATAACATGAACAATCTAATTAATTCATCTAATTGGCTACAGCTAGTGTGAACCTAATGGATATTTTAGAGATATGAAATTACAACCAGCAGATATGTTTGTGACCTTAACTTACTGTTTACTCACTCATCTTAGGGTTTTCAGGTCCTGTATTAATTTAATAATTTTTTGTTTACATTGTGTGTTAACAGATACTGATTTTATCTTTGCCATTAATCCATCTGGACATTTGTGAGCCTTTCTGTCTAATTTGTTATAAGAGCCCCATTTCTGTGAAGTATAAGTTCTAACAGGACTGATATAACCAAGTTTTGTGATACTGATATATCTGCTCCCATGCCTTGTTTGAATCCAACTTTCCTAATTAATGGTTTTAACCTCTTCTTACCAAAATCAATAAATGAGCCCTTAGGGGATGAGGTTGGTTAGTTTTTTTTTTTTTTTTTTTTTTAAATTAATAGTTCCTTAAGCCCAAGGGGATAATCCGGCTTTTATATTCTGTAAAGAGTGATGGATACATATTCTAAATACATGTAGCATATATATACTATCCATTATCATAATAAAAAATGCCACTTTACACGAGAAAAAAGTTTTATCTTCATTTCACTGTTAATTTTTTTTTTCAATGATAATGATATGTAGTTTTCAAGGAGGCTTGCTTGTATTTAGAATTGATCCATAGGGGTATTACATTGTACAACTTTCCATTTGATCATTTATCTGTTTTCCCCAGGATGCAATTAGTCTTCAAAGCTTTTAGCTTTTCAAAGTCAGAGACACTGTCATTCTTTGATGAAAATGTGCATACATTTTTACAGTATATCCAATAAATGATTTATTTCCAAAGTTTTCTTAAAAGGGGGCCAGGGTGGGGGAGGGGGGAGCTACATAGATAAGTAAACAGCATGAATAGGCAGGGGAAGAAACAAATGTACCATTTGAACTTTTGGACTACCATTTTACAGGGGTGAGATTTTTTCAACTTTTCATGGATTTCCAACTTTTTGGGAGTCATAAAAATACCATTGGAGTCCCCCAGGAACCCAGGCCATATTTTCCGACTTTTTTCTCTAAAAGGCAGTCTCATCCCCCAACTCTTGAACTTTTGAACACCCCTGTGGTGAAGTAAACTCCAGAGATTATGTACTCATGAGATAATAAGATTCCACGGAGGATTCATGCACTAAAACACTGTGACATAGGTACAAATAAAAAATATATCACTGATAATTTCCTCCTCCTCCTCATTTCCTAGATATGGTTTATTGTCCTTTGTTGAAACAGCATTTTCCATCTTTGAATCAGAATGATATATTCAGTGTATGTCACATCAATAAAGCCCTGGGGATTCTTAGTGCTTTGCTTTGTGACATATTGATTTGGGATAACCTGCTGTTTACTCTTTCTGAAATTCAGCCGTACCATTCTGAAAATCTGGGCTTTTCCATTTTTAGTGTGATGGGTAAATTATGTAGAAGCTCTCCACTTCTTTTCTTTTTATGTACAGACACAGATGTGTCTGTACATATAGCCATCATCTGCGTCTGTCGTCGCCGTCGCCGCTGTCGCTGTCGTCGCCGTCGTCGCCGTCGCCGTGCACTTTTANATTTCACTGTTAGAACTAACTTTAGTAAGTATTAAGTTCTTGGGATTTTTGAAAGCAAATGTGAGCAGAATGATTTTATTTATTAGAACTGCCAAAAATGGATGTACGTAATAGGTATTGCATGGTATTAAAGTTAAAGAAAGAAGGCAATATTCCAGGGCATCTCTGGGCAGTTTAGGAAAGCAATTGATGATTTCAACTTAATTGAGTCTGTAGTTGTAATGCAATCTTAAATTCAATTGATGATTGTTTTAACTTTCTAACTTGCAATTTCCCTCAACCAATTGCAAATACACATAGAGGGTATTTACTTTTGCTTACTGAAAAGGATGAATGGTATCCAGTTTCTTTGATTGGCCTGAAAGATAATATTTCTCCAATACAAGCCATTGCTGTACTTAATTGCCTTCATAGATTTGTCTACATAGGATTTAGTATGGATATAACTGGATCTCAACTCAAGCTGATGCAAGAACAAGGGTTTCTGTGTTACTATTTCAGCCAGAGGAAAACTTGACTGAAAATGTATGATTTTGATTATAATACCATAATGAATAAGCAATGCAAAATTCAAATCCAAGTATTTTTTTTCATCAGCTTTGCTTATTCAACTCATCTTGGCAGAAAAGCTCTTTAATTATTTACTTGATGTTTCCTATGAATAATGAAGATGTGTGTAGGAAACTCCCACATTACACTTCAATGAAAAATTATCAAGCAAGTCCATTAATCTTGAACACTGTATGTATGTTTTGTGTCACTTGAAGATAAAGCATTCATGTGCAATCATGAAGAGTTGACGTTTTACATTAGATCAAATGCAAGGCAATATATATTTCAGGTACATGCAGCCTTTGAATATTTTCTACAATTTTTCTTATTGAGTGTAGAGTGGTTTTATTGATCCCTAGTATTAGAAAAGAGGAGCCAGATTTATATTGCATTAAGTTTCTTTTTATCCTCACACTTATCTTCTTCATTAGTCTGTGGTACCGCTGAGAATTGATACTTCACATCCATTGACAGAAGAGATTAGAATTGAAAAGCTTTTTTGCAAAATATCTAGGTAGTGGAAATAACCGTGTTATCCATAGTACAAGCTAAGTTAGGTGGAATTGTTTTAAAAATCTCTAAAGCTGTCTTAGTTCACTTTTAAGCAGAGAATACATTCAAATATTATAAAAATGTGAATAGACAAATGCAGTCAAACTTGTTCTGGAATAAAAAACACAATTAGTACATTTTTTCTTTAACTAATCTCACCCTATAAAGCCTCTTATTTGCAGTTTAAAAACAAAAATAATGTTGACATTGTAGGTTTCTACCGGACCATAAGGGAAGGAGTCCAAATTTAGAAAATATATTCCAAAATCAATGAAAAAGTATCCCCACTGCCATGTGTATTTCCAGGAAAACTCCTAACAGTGTTTTTCTGTGTTTTTCAGACAATGACCTGGACGACTTGGAGATGCAAGTGGTGCGTTACAAGCCAGAGGGGCTGGATGCATTGTGCCGCAATACCAAATTTTCAAGGAAGGAGTTACAGATAATGTATAGGGGGTTCAAACAGGTAAGACTACATGGCAGCATATCTATTACCTCAGTAGAAGTTGTTGCATAAATGATAGTAATAGCACAGGTGGTAGACTCGTACATGCATGCACGCACAAATTCTTTCTTTCAAGGGATGGTAATCAATTTTTTTTTCTTACTGGGCACGGAAAAGCATTTTCCATAAGGCTTTCAGATTATCTTGGTAATTTGTTGTTCAGATAGGTGTTTCTTACCTGTGTGTGGTTAGTTCAAGGCCTATACCAACATTTTAAATTGTGCCAAATGGTAGAGTTGATATACTTTGGCTTATACATGTAAGGAAAAAAAATTGTTTTAAATTGCCCATTTGTCACCATTTTGACTCTATTGATAACATGAACAATCTAATTAATTCATCTAATTGGCTACAGCTAGTGTGAACCTAATGGATATTTTAGAGATATGAAATTACAACCAGCAGATATGTTTGTGACCTTAACTTACTGTGTACTCACTCATCTTAGGGTTTTCAGGTCCTGTATTAATTTATTGTTTTTTGTGAACATTGTGTATTAACAGATATTGATTTTATCTTTGCCATTAATTCATCTGGACATTTGTGAGCCTTTCTGTCTAATTTCTTATGAGCCCCATTTCTGTGAAGTATAAGTTCTAACAGGACTGATATAACCAAGTTTTGTGATTATGATATATCTGCTCCCATGCCTAGCTTGTTTGCCTCCAACTTTCCTAATTAATGGTTTTAACCTCTTCTTACCAAAATCAATAAATGAGCCCTTGGGGGATAAGGTCGGTTAGATTTTTTTCTTTTTCTTTTTTTTTTTTTCAAAATTAATAGTTCCATAAGCCCAAGGGCATAATCCAGCTTTTACATTCTGTAAAGAGTGATGGATACATATTCTAAATACATGTAGCATATATATACTATCCATCATCATAATAAAAAATGCCACTTTACACGAGAAAAAAGTTTCATCTTCATTTCACTGTTAAATTTTTTTTTTCAGTGATAATGATATGTAGTTTTCAAGGAGACTTGCTAGTATTTAGAATTGATCCATAGGGGTATTACATTGTACAACTTTCCATTTGATCATTTATCTGTTTTCCCCAGGATGCAATTAGTCTTCAGAGCTTTTAGCTTTTCAAAGTCAGAGACACTGTCATTCTTTGATGAAAATGTGCATACATTTTTACAGTGTATCCAATAAGTGATTTATTTCCAAAATTTTCTTAAAGGGGGCCAGAGTGGGGGAGGGGGGAGCTACATAGATAAGTTTACAGCATGAACAGGCAGGGGAAGAGACAGCTGTACTTTATGAACTTGTGGACTACCATCTTACAGGGATGAGATTTTTTCAACTTTTCATGGATTTCCAATTTTTTGGGAGTCATAAAAATACCATTGGAGTCCCCCAGGAACCCAGGCCATATTTTCCGGCTTTTTCTCTAAAAGGCAGTCTCATCCCCAATCTTAGCACTCTTGAACTTTTGAACACCCCTGTGGTGAAGTAAACTCCAGAGATTATGTACTCGTGAGATACCAAGATTCCACGGAGGATTCACGCACTAAAACACCATGACATAGGTACAAATAAAAAAATATATCACTGATAATTTCCTCCTCCTCCTCGTTTCCTAGATATGGTTTATTGTCCTTTGTTGAAACAGCATTTTCCATCTTTGAATCAGAATGATACATTCAGTGTATGTCACATCAATAAAGCCCTGGGGATTCTTAGTGCTTTGCTTTGTGACATATTGATTTGGGATAACCTGCTGTTTACTCTTTCTGAAATTCAGCCGTACCATTCTGAAAATCTGGGCTTTTCCATTTTTAGTGTGATGGGTAAATTATGTAGAAGCTCTCCATTCTTTTCTTTTTTCACTGTTAGATTTTGAAAGTTGACACTTCATTAATTGAAGGCATTGAGTAACAAGTATTTATTGAGGTGTTGGCATATAGTATTTATGATCGTGTTTTGAGTGGAAAGTAATCATTAGACCTCTATATGCAGTCTGTTCATTTCCAAAATCTTCAGTAAAACCTGATTTGTCCTTTAGAATTTGGTAACCTTCTCAAATTAGGAACATGAATTATGTTAAATAAAACCCTTGTATATGTACCTTATAAAGACCTGAATCATATATACATATGTGCATGCCGGTGGGGCGGGCATTTTGCAGCATATTTGAATATATATTAAAACATTCCATATCTTTTCATTGCCACAATTTCAAGGTTAGAACAAAGAATTGTGGAGTATATTTTAAAACAAAAGCAGCTCGCCAAGGTTAGGAAAATTATGTTAATTCTACTCATCTCACTTATGTCTTTGTTGTTTTCCTCACAAACAAATTACATTTCCTAAACTGATGAATTGCTTCAGGTTGTTTTTTATTTCAATCAAGGCCTGTCTAAGCACATTTATCTGAGAATTGGAAATTGATCGCCTATTCTCTCAGTTTGTCAACAGGGGGATGACCTTTATATGACGAAGATGAGTATGCTGCTTTATGCTTCTTTTATGGCAATTTATTTGCCATGATTTATTGATATGATTGGCTTGACATTATTTTGTGCCATTTTTTTTTCTTTTTTAGAACAAAAAAAGTGAAAACAATGTATCATATATTCAAGAAAAAATATTTCTCCAATTTGGATCCAGAAGTAAAATAATGTTCATGTGTTATTATATTCTATGAATCCATTAGCAGTGTAAAAAGTGAGATTAATTTTAATAAGTTTCTTCTTCATCATGACATTTGATGGCTAAAAAGTGGATATGTCCAGTGTTCTTTGTAAAGATCATTTTTGTGGTATTTCAAGCCAATGCCAATGATGAGGTTTAAGCTATACGTGTAAGTGCAGTTGAACGTTTATGTCAGATGTCTTGTGTGTTTCAAAATGCAAAGATTAATCAAAGAAAGTATACAGGCAGGTATTGATTCGAAATAAATATTGGACAAGATTATGACATAATGTGCCACAAAAACAAACATTTTCAGAGTCCTAGGTATTCAGTGGGTTTGACAAAACAGTCCATACTTCTCTAGAATGGTGTCTTTCCGACTTATGAATCAATAGGTCCTGCTTTTTGAAAAGAAATATTAAGATTTCCTGCACTAGGCTCTTAACATTTCCACTGCATTTTGTTGTGATCTTTCATTTAGTTCCTCTTCTATAAACAGTATGTGTTGACAGACTTGGCAGAGATCATTGCATCATGTGCATTATTATTCTATAACATGTTACATAATGTTATATATAAATAATATACTAAGGACTTGGATCATTAAGATTTTTAAAAAAATACACAGTTTTGGTGTTGGAAAGGAAACTTTTGATATCTTTATTTATCCTTAATTTGAATCCTGTGATCTGAATGAGGTTATTTTGTCACATTGTTAGAATTAACACAGTTTAGGATCACATGTAGAGTTTTTTTTTTTACTCTTTATTGCAGTCCCTGGTCTGTGCCTAAATGAAATCAATACCCACAGTTTGTTGAAATAAATGCAGTTGCGGAAGCACTTCTTGAAAGGAAACTATGAAAATATATCAGTTCAGTCAATTGGCTCATTAAATTTTACACCTGCATGCACTGGCACCCTAGCACATGATGCGTTTATCAGGTAAACTCTTTATGAAGGATGAGTTTTGAAGACAAATCGAATGTGAGCTGAAGCAAGGTATAGATATTGCCTATGGGGCCCGATTGTAAGGTAGCAGTGTTCTCAGGCGTGAAATTTGACAACTGTGACGTCATTACGTCTTTAATAAAAACATCCCGGTGACCCTTGTGTTATGTGGGAGCTATGCCTTTCACTGCCTTTCAGATTGATTTGTGTTAGGTTTTAAAATACACATGTGCATGATGGGACTGGATGTAGTGGGATTTAGGGTTTAGTCTTACGCCCTGCTTGCATGCCACCTTTGCTTTCAGACAGCATATATTTGGAACTGTCTTTTAAAACCAGTAAAAAAAGGCAGGGATTTGATAGACCTTTACAGTAGATTTTGTTTTTAAAAAAAAACGCAGACATAAGTATTATTGATTAAAACTGGTTACATTAGATAGCTTAGTGCATCTTAGCTAAGGTTAGATGCCAGTATGTTATCTTTGCTTCTGTCTTTGTGTATAGCATCACTCTATTTCCATAGCTGTTTATCTTGTTCAGCCTAAAGCAAGTAGTACATACAACAGTGCTAGCTGCCTTAGTATATTGTCTTGTTTTCCCCTTCATTGTTGTATATTGTTCATTTAGGTGGCTGTAACTGTTGGACTTTCTGTGTCTCAAAAAGAAAATCAGAAGGTAACTTGCATAGACCTACGTAATTACAAAGGCACTTCCAAATGCATGTGGAACTTTCTTTTCAGCCTTATCTCCCATTTATACGCCCTTTTCCTATAGAGATTGGTATGCGTAACTGGATCGGTCCACATTGAGAGAGTGACATCTTATTAGCCTTGACCGATCCAGGGAGTGTGTCCCCACTATTTTTGGAAAACAAAATGGTGAATCAAGCTTTTGTCCCTACCTACATGTATAATGGGAGAAAAGGCGTGGGCCCACAGAAGCATGTTCCATGTGCTCATTGCAGAAAAAGTTTCAAATTGTGCCATTCATTCTGAATTTTTCTTTATTGGGGGTAGGGGATGGGGAAAGGGGATAAAAGGGGAGGGGTGCCAAAAGGGCTCCTTTCTGCTTGATCTCCTGGATCTCCCAGTGGTCTGTTTACCTGACAAGCTGTGAGAGGAACTGCAAATTCTACCTCTGCACGCCCATGTACTCTGCTAAATGCCTTACAATTCGTGATTTATCATGAAAGTTGTTGGGGTCGTTGTATGTGCTTCCGTCTTCCCCTGCTAAGGGTTGTTTTATGTGCTTCTGCCATTTCCTGACACTGCCTTGGCTACCTGCAGCATGGTGCTATAAGTGTGTATTAACTGGAGCTGATTATTCCGAAAATAAAGTACTGGAACGGAATAAGAATTTATTTTCTGTGTGATGGACACCCGATTTGCACATGATCTGTCTATGAGCACCATGCTATTAGCATGAACAGTACATTGTGTTATCATACCGTAAAAGGAGACAGAAGGTTTTTTTTTTCTTTTTTCTTTTTTTAAGTGCAAAAGTACCACCATTGCAACTTTGATGCTCCCTGTTACAGTGTTGGTTTCTATGAATACTGTCAAGGTGTATGCAAGGTTTTATAATTCATACCTGTTGGTACACAAACATTGCACTCTCAGTTCTTTAATGACAATTTCTTTCATGGTATTTTGACTACGTGTTTTGATTTCATTTTCTTGGTTTTTTATTAAAAGTAACTTCCATCAAAAAAAAAAAAAAAAGCCACTTAGATTTACATGCACATTTTCCCCTGTTTGTTTACATGTTGGTGTTTTAAGTTGCAGTGAAATAAAGCCCTTCTACCCAAACCTGTGCCACATTTATGATGAGTGAAGAAGAGTACTTTTACTTGTCCATTGCATTCAGTATCTAATTGTTCCAATTTTTCATGTTTGTTATGTATTGAAAATTACATTTAGATTATTTATTTATTTTGTATTATTGATTTACAAAATATCAGGAAGTGACAGTGATGTATATGAGATAACATTTTTGGCATAATTATGAAAAAAATGTTTCCTTAGTTGCCCAGAAATGCATTTACAATAAACCACAGAGGAACAAATTATAAGTACAACTTTTTTCTGTAAAGTTCCTGTGCCTAAATTTTTAAGTGAACACTTTTGCCGACTGTCAATTCTTGATCATTCGGTCCAAAAAGTCAGACGTTCAAAACATGGCCAGTGTCCGCTTCTTTTCAATAATTATTTTTCTTGATTTTGGCTTTGAGGCACAAAGTGTGATTGCTATTGACCAGTGCTATTGACTGAAGATGAGATGTACTTGCTTGATGGTATAAAACTAGAACTTGGGGAAACAACATACGCCCTGACCAAAATTAGATTTGCCAAGTTGAAAAATCTCTTCTTCTTTCCGTGATGTTCTTTCCAACCAGCCTGCCCTGGCAGTAATCTAATATACTTTACATTACAAGTCCTTTTGGGGTTTTATGCCATAATGGCGAAGAAGGAAATTAGGCTTCAGTAGACTTTTCAATTTACAAAAAACATGATGGCTTTATTGTATGTAGTCAAAGCTGCAAATTACAGAAAAATAAGCACATCAAAAATCTATCACCTTTAGAAATGTTTTCTTTGTTTGCATGCAACAAATATTCCACATGACCCAGCTCAGAGTATGATTGGAAAGGAAAGATTAGTGAAAAACCATTACATTCCCTGGAATACCAATTATACAATGAATCACTTAGTTCTAATTGATGTCCTCTTGATTTTGTTCTCTATCTCTCTCTGCTTCCAGGAATGCCCCACTGGGATAGTTAACGAAGAGACATTCAAGGAAATCTATGCCCAGTTCTTCCCGCAAGGTGGTGAGTATGCAGGTCAACCTGGACGTGGTAAGGCTCAAGGGGACAGGGACTCTTTTTTTTTTTACTCCCAATTTAATCATCATCATCATCATACTATTATTACTACTACCGTTTTTTTATTCAGCTTTTTGTCATGCTGTTAGTATAGACTATGCTCCCTAGAAAGTGCCTTGTGATTGGGAACAGATGAACTGTAGTCATACTGTCAGCAAATTAAATTATTTACATAATGCTAAAAATATTTTGTTAGAAGAAAAGTGAGAAAAAACAAAACAAAACTTCTTATTTTTATTTTATTATTATTTTATTCATTTATTATTTATAGATATCAATTAAGTGAAAGAATACACCATTTTTAATTTTTTTTTATAAGAAAGAAAACGGTAAATTTTGACCACAACACATGGCACAGTTAGGGGACAAGCTGTATTAACTGGAGCATGTGAATCCCCATTGATGGACCTTTTTAACTTGATCCTGTGGCTGCTTTTGAGCATTATTTATGTATCATAGCAATTGTTTTAAACTTGTCTTATCACAAATGATTAGGACCTTGTCATGATAATGTTTCCTTCATGTTCCTCTCATGTGGACAGTTATTGTGACCCCCATAGTCATCGTATTTTTGGTAGGACAAGACATGCATGTTGATATTCTTAACTTAGCTTTTGATCAAAAAGCTTTCTATTTGCTATTGTTTTGTTTATACAATTTGCATTTATCACTTGTGCACAGTTTTTACTTTTTATTATTTTTTTTTTCTCAAACAAGATATGATAGTGTTCCTAAAATGTACACTACATCATGTATGTGCAATATTTGATCTGCAATGAGGATAAGGTAAGCCGAGTTTCTTTTAATTTCTCTTTATTTCACAATTAAGGAATAAAGAAGTATGTGTAAATGTCATCATTTACCATTTAATACAGTTTAAATAAATAAATAAATGTAGACCAATTATGTTTAAAACATACACTTGATTTCTGTTTGATAAATTAGAATTGGCTAAGTCGCTTGATGCCTCTTTATGTTTAGACTATAAATTCTATGTGAATACCCTATAAACATACAATTCAAATATTATTTGCACTATTTCTGTAGATTATGGCTCGTTTTAATTCTACATATCACATATATTGTGTATGTATGGAGGAAAACACAATTTTACATTTATGAATATTTTTCTAAAGTTTTGAACCAAAAATATATGTGACCAGTGTTTTTCAAAATGGAAAAAGAAGTAATGTGAATGTGATATTTTATTACTGATACATCTTCCAATCATGATGTTGACATTTTTATTGGAAACTTATGGACTTGAACTTATCCAAAAGTCTATACAAACCCAAGCAGGGATATTAAAAGGCCTCTTTGGCATTCTCTTTGCTCAAGCTTTCAAGTTGTCCAAAATAACTGCAGCTAGAATTCCCCCGAGGGGTGGTCTTGCTGTGTTTCTCATCAGAATTCTATCAGGCCTCAGATGTTTAAGTGTACAGCAAATAAAAAGATGCTTACCTCTAATTATAGTGCAAGCCTTCCCAAACAAGATAAGGAAAGTTGTGCATCTAGGCAGTTTCATTGCTTCAAAAATGGGGGTGAATGATAGGTATAGAGTAATAAATTCTGTTTTAACCCATTTTTTTTTAATCAGTATGGCATGGAAAAATTAAAAGTAAACAGCCAATTTACCTGTCATGCAACAACTGGTACTTTTTTGACACATAATAATATAAATTCTATCTTTTCATGTAATATATTTTATGTCATTAGAACAGAATAAATTAGTCCATAGAAATTAGTCTGCTGCTGGTTACAGTAAGGAGAAATATTGATCACAAACTTAGTTTTGCTGTGGTAACTTTCAGCTTAAAGAAACATCAGGCAAACACAACATTATGACATTGTGTATTTTACTTCAGGCAGGTCAGTTTGATTTTATGTACAAAAAAAAAAAGGCACTGCAATTGCTTTTGTCATGTATTCTTTGCCATGCTGTAATTTGCCAACAGCTATTCTAAGTCAAACCTTTACTCTATCTCACAATGCAGGGTATGCAATGATTTTCTTTTTACTTAAATATAATGCTACATCTTTGATAAATGAACTCCTCGTAATTTACAAGCATTAATTGTTCTCTGTTAAACATCATTGAAATTACACTTATGTATCCAAAATTAGTTTAGGTTTTCGAAATATGATTACCTTTAATTCACAGTCTTTAGACAAAACATTCTGCAGATGCTACAGTCAATAGCTATATAGAGTAAGATCAAACTTAGCAAGAGTCTACAGATACACATTTTAACCAAGTGATAAATCAGATGTATTATCTATATATGTCTTAACTGTGGTGAGGTGCATGAGGGCTATTACCATACGCAACTCCAATAAATGTGCAATTTGGTTGATTTCGCTTCCATGTCTCTGTTGACATTATTTTAATGTGTCTGTGAAATAATCGTACAACCAACAATAATTTTTAAGATACTGCTGCCGTGTATATCTGCAAAAGTGAAACAAACTGATGAGTAGAACGAAAGTGCCTTAGCTTTATCATTCCCAACGTGTATTGCATGACAGCCACTGAGATCAAGAACACACGGGTCCTATTGTCCAGACTGTGCTTTCCCCATAACACTTGGTACATATTATTAGACATGTGCTTGGCCAGTAAGGCTTGACCTTTGTAAGGTATTGGCCTTAATGACCTGATGGCTTTTTAGGTTAATAACTACATTGGATAAAAGTTCTTTAAGACCATGACCTCTTTGAGGTCATTGACCTTTGTCCGATGAATTCTGTGGTCATGACCTTTTTGAGGTCATGGACATGTTGAGGCGACTGACCTCTTACAGGTTTCATGTGACTATGTTCAACCTTGTGTGTGTCAAGTGTTATGAGAGCACAGGTTCAGTTAGCCTAATGTCCCTGAAGGTGCTTCCGCCTCCCCTGAGCTTTATCGCATACAGTGATGTCCATGTACCAGTCTTCCTACAGTTCTGTGATAACAATGGCTTATAGAAACATTAAACGTGTCAACAAAATATCACGTGAAAAAAGCTTCTGATTGCTACTTGGTTACTCGTTGATTTTTTTAAAAATCCCTTTGTATATGATGACCTGTCTTTTCCCCGAACAGATTTTTTTTTCATGTGATATTTTTGATGCTGTTGGCTTCTTTCTAGCTTTAAGCTGTGTCAGTTAGTACCATAACTGCCCAAGTTTCCATAATGTGATACTCATAAACTATTTAAGTCAGATCATTTTTCAAGAATCTAATCTATTTTTATGTTCATAAATACTTTGAAATGTTATTTTATATTTTGGAAATGATTGTCAGAGGAACCTACAGTCAGACAATGAAAAAAATAATGTATTAGCAAATTTTTTTGTATGTCCCATACTCTCTTCACACTTTTTTTTTCAAATTTTGATGGCGACAGAATAATGACAGGGAATATGATAAAGAGATAATAGACAAACATGTTGTAGCTTTGTAAAATTTTGAATTTATATCCACTAAGTGCATTGCTCGTTGACTAGAATGTATTATACATGTATGTCTGCTTTGGATTTTTCTTCTTGATTGTCCATGTTTTATATCATATTTGTGTACATTGCTCACCAGGGTTGCCAATTTCACAAAAACCAAGTTTCATTGCATTGGCCTTTGAATTCACAGTGAAAGAAGCATGAGTTTCTCCTAACTTCACTTTGATTGGAGATTGTCCTTAAACTCCACCACTCGTGACTGTAGGTTTCTTGATGAGATTTTTTTATATTGTTTTCATATTATTTTTTGCTTATTCAGGTTAACTACAGTAAACAACAGCGCATAAGTGCTGTTCATTATCCTTACACCTTTACTATTGTATGTTCTTGATGGATATTCCAAATTTCTTGATTTCACATTTCCAAAATAAAGTTTGAGTTTTGTAACTTTATAAAGCTTTCTTTTTCTAGTATGTGAAACAAAAGCAAGGAGCTAACTTCTTCCTACCTAGTTATATCATCTTAATATCTTTGTCTTTTTTTTTTTTTTTTTTTTT